TCTTCAGGCGCCTTGTAAAAATATGTGCCGTCAGCTTGTCGTAATTAATGTGTGAGGTGATAGTTGTTTACACTGGAGATTCATCCTGGTACGCGGTTTAGAAAAAAAGGCAGAGCTGGCTCAACCATTTAAGGTGCCGCTGGCAGACTGTTCTTTCAAAGCCGATCTTGAATTAAATGTCATGGCATCTTGTTTACTGTTAAAAGGAATGTGAACACGGTGACATTCAAAGACAGACACTTCTAAGCTGTAAACTGTTATCATTGTAATTATAAAACTGTAGATGCTGAAAGGTGGTGTAATTTCCAACAGACAATACTGACATGTTTTATTTTTCAACCTATTTTTCTACTCTGTGCACTGCAAGAGTGTTTGGTTATGTGGTTTCATTTACAACCTGAAGATAGGAGATTGCAGAGAAGCGGAATAAAACAAACACCCACGTCAGGATCACCACACCCAGCCCCATGTCACTGACCTTTACTTGTCTACCACTGGGAAACAAAAGGCCATGCAAAGCAGTAATCCACACAGCAATCTGCCAAATGGCAACAAAATCACCGCCACTTCAGTACCAAGGAGAGCGCATGCCAGCGGTCTGACATTATCAATAAAGAACATTTTACTCTGCAGCAACAAAACTGCCAAAAATTAGACTAGAGAATGGACAAAGCAGATATCCTGCCTGTGAATACTTTAAACCAAGATTAGGGGAACAGTTTTGCAATCACAAATCCACCACACTAACTTTTTCTCTGTTACTGTCACTCTCGCATACACAGTGAAACGCACACACAAAAATGTTTTTTTTTCACTTACCAACAGGTGCAATGGAGAGGCAAAAGCAAGACAATCCCCAAAAAGGGAATGGTTTCACATGTGGTGACCACAGACAGTTGCTCCCTCCTTATCCTTCCTGACTGAATCTTCTCTCGTTTTGTGTTCTGCTAGTGTCCTTGTCACTACTGGTAGCATGAGGTCATATGTGCAGCCCAATCAGGTTGCACAGGTGGTCCAGCTCCTCCTGGATGGCACTAACCAAACTGTCAGAAACAGACTCCATGAGGGTGGCATGAAGGGCCAACGTCCTCTAGTGGGACTTGTGCTCACAGCCTAGCACCGTGCTCCACTGGCATTCGCCAGAGAACACCAGAATTGGAAGGACTGCTATTGGCACTCTGCTTTCTCCACAGATGAGAGCAGGTTCACACTGAGCACATGTGACAGGCGTAAAAGAGTCTGGAGACGCCGTGGTGAACGTGATAGTGCCTGTAACATCATCCAGCATGACTGGTTTGGTGGTGGGTCAGTGATGGTCTGGGGAGGCATATCCTTGGAGGGCCACACAGACCTCCATGTCATAGCCAACAGTGCCCTGACAGCTGTTAGGCACCAGGATGAAATCCTCTTAGTGACTGTCAGACCTTACGCTGGTGCAGTGGACCCTGGGTTCCTCCAGGTGCAGGACAATGCCCGGCCTCATGTGACCAGAGTGTGTAGGCAGCTCCTGGATGATGAAGGCATTGATGCCATTGACTGGCCCTCTCGTTCCCCTGACCTAAATCCAACTGAGCACCTATGGGACATTATGTATCGGTGCATCGGATGCTGCCAAGTACCAGTCAATCATTTCATCCTTGATCCACGTGGATGATTGTGCCAGATTAGAAGAAATTCCCACAAGTCCTTCTTGAGATATTGCATCTACAAGAATGAGACAGATGCAAGGTCACAGTGATCTTGACGTTTGACCATCAAATTCCAATCAGTTTAGTCTTGAGTCCAAGTGCACATTTATGCCAAGTTCGAAGAAGTTTCCTCAAGGCATTCTTGAGATATCTTGTTTAAAAGACTGGGACGGACAGACTGACAGACAAGCAGAGCACATAATGCCTCGGGCCACAGCTTTCACCAGCGCAGAGGCATAAAAAGAAATATATAAATAGTGAGAAATATAATCAGGTTCGAGTTTGACAACATAAATCCTGATTAAATCCTAAGTATGCTCAGCAGGATAAACACTTAATAGAGGGCTTATCTGTACAAGGCCTACCTATCAGTCTACCAGTTCCCCACAAAACTCCTGACAGACAGAGAGAGGACCAGCAGGCACCTCCCACAGTCAGTCACCTATGGCAGGGGGTCTATCGTCTTGTCAACCAAATTCACAGTTTCCTGCTTACTTTGCTTCCAGGGCTGCTGTAGTTTGGGTTCATGAGTTTAATAGGTTGTCAGGTCAGTTTTGAGGCCAGTACTGGTAGGGAGGAGCCCTTGGACTTGAAGGTAAAACCAAACAATACGTAACAGGCAACTGAGAGACAAGCACAAACATGACACTTTAACTAAATTGTATTTTAGAACAATAAATAGTTTTGAGACTTTGCTGCCAAATTTCAGTTTCCCACTGAACTTAGGACTCCTTTTTTTTCTAGATTTGCTTAAGCCGCACATACACAAGAGTGGGATACTTACTGGCATACACAATGTCGACATACAAACACTGTATTCAGTGCAAACACAGCATGGGCAAATGAAAGCCATCTTCTTGACTTGTTTTAACCTGAACAAGGCCTCACTCCTTCCTGCTTGCACTCACATGCACGCACACACACGCACACACACACATGCACACGCACGCACACACACACACACACACACACACACACACACACACACAAACATATTTCTGTCCCCACTTGGAAAGCCTCTCAGCTTCTTTTCGCTTCATTCAGTACAAATAACTTCACGGTGGGATAAAAGCATAATGTTTCCAGAAAACCTCTTCCCCCCACTTTGCTTCACTCTTTTGGCCCCATGTTCTCCTTCACTTTTTCCTCCAACCCTGTTCTCTTGTGCTCTCTGTCCAAAAGGACATTCTTATTTCATTAGAGGGGGGTCTGGGAGGCCAAGAGGGTAAACAAAACCTCTGTAATCAACAGCAGGACATACACAACCACAATGAGCCAATCAGAGCCCAGTGTCCTTTTCGAGAGAACCATGGCTAACCAATACAAATCCACACCTGGACACACAGAACTTGAACTTGCCAACTCAAACTCAGCACTTAGATTTGTGTGGAATTCAAAATGTAGCCTAGCACTGGGAGTCAAGGTTATCCATAAGGAACACCAATCAAAGTTAGCATGCATGCCTGCACAGACACCGATATACACACATACACACAGATCCCCGGCTATTTGTCTATCGGTGCTGTCATCTCTGTTTGCTCATATTAGGGAGGGCTCACTCAGGGACAGGATATGGGGATTAGGTCTGGCCTTATTGCGCTGTAGCTACACACCGCTAAATGGCTCCCATCTGTTCTCCCATTGAGAATGGCTAATACACGTTAGCTGTGCTCGCATTGTGCGCTGCCAGAATAACAGCAGTGGATAGATGAGCAGCACTGATATCGCTAGCCACAACACCATTCTGTGCTAAAGGCTAATGTGCCTGGCTTATTCTATTAGATCAGGATAAGAAGCACTAATACACACACACACACACACACACACACACACACACACACGTGCATACACACACCATCACGATATCTGATTGGAGATACCGAGGCAGTAGGCTAGTCACGGGTCCGGCTCTAGGTTTACCTTGAAGGAATATACGTTAGAGCAGGCAGAAATCTGGGGAGAGGTGGAAAGAACAGGAGTGATGGAAAAAAGATGGAGAGATGGAAAGAGAGGGAGAAAGGGGGCAGTGTGGTCTGTTTCATTACGGTGAATCCTGACACTGCTGCATTCTCAGCACACATGGACTGGATTATAGGCTATGTGGGCTGCTCCAGCACTGTATAGCTCAGCAACGCTCTCTTGCACACACACATACACACTTGCAAATGCACACACAAACATCAGAGCTAAACACACTAAAGTGGCGCACTGCAGGAACACAAACCATTTGCTCACACAAAACCTATAGGACTCTTAATCCCAAAAGCAGCACTAGGGCAAAGTGCACAACTACTAAGTCATTGAGGTTAGAGACAGAATCTGCTTGTGATGGTCCACCTGTGGATTACTGGGGGAAAAGAATGAGATGCACTGGAAACTATGAGCATACCATGATGCCTGGTTTTCTCTCTGGTTCCCACATAAATACATAAGCACCCTTCCCCTAACATTCGCTTTTCTTCATCGTTCTTTCTCCATCTTTCTTCATATGTAAATTCACAAATCTCACTTTTTCACTATCTCTTTTTGTCTTACGCATATGTATTCACTCCGAGCAAACCATCGCCCTCCCCGCACAGACCTCTTTCCGCACGCCTGCGTTCAAAGGCATCCTGAGTCTATGGGGGGGCTTCGATATAAAACCCCCCAAACAGGAATTATCCTTTATGACTCTGCATTCTTCGTTTTATGCTTTTTCAGCTTGCAGCCTCAGAAAAAAAAGCTTCATGACTGTTCTGTGTTGTATTGCAATTAACTATCCCACACACTGGCACACAACAGGGTGGGGTAGCGCGGTAAAACTTTACTACAGCTGAAAAAGTGAGGCGGGGAGAGACAGACTCGTCCATCTCTGGTTTTTCTCACCGTGTCGTTTTTATCACCTATGGGCCATGGTACGCTCGCTTTAGACTGCTGGTTGTGCATTGGTCTAATACCACGCAGTTACCTATACAGCCACAGAGCACACACACACACAGCATGCGGCACAGCCAGCATATGAGCATTTCAGAGAAAGGCAGCCATAAACCTCTGAATCAACTGAGGCTCTTTAGTTGACTGAAATTCATAAGCAATGGGAAAAGGAGCCGGGTTCTATTACACTCTCTTCTGTCAGAGTTGGGTAATGCTGTGGTTATTGTGGTGCCATCAGTGTTCCCGGCTAATGGTTACTCAAGCCCACTGAAGAAGCCTATTGTGTGGAAGATCATTAAAATATCTGGAGCTGATATACAGCACTACACCCTGGAAAGGAGTACATTAACTCTGAAATTAGTAGAAAAATGTAACAATAGCAGAGCAATATACACTCACTGTGGACAAATGGATGCAGGGTTTCCACGGTGATGGTCATCATGCCCATATTCCCTCTTCATCATCCTGTTAGAAAAACATGGGAAAAATCATCATCATCCATCCACTGACCATCAATGATTTATGTAAAAAGTCTCCAAAAACTGCATGTATGTGGCAGAAAATGGCTTCCCTTTAGACCAGAACATTTACTGTACAAACTCTGGCCCAGTGGTTATGTCTTCACAAGTAGTGTCTCATTGCCTAATCGTATGGCCCTCCTAACCCTCTGTGGCTTTTTAATCAAAACAATCCTGTTCATGCTCCTCATTCAGAAAAGCTGTGTATGATATCATAAAATGCTTTCCTCAGTGTGACTGTTAGGAACCAATAACGAAACACACAAGGGGTTTCCTTGGGGCTGAAACTGTGCAGACAAGAGCCCTGCTAACAGGAAGGCTAATTCACTCAGACACTAACATTACAATGGTTAGCATGAGCTGGCAGCTCGCTATAGCCAAGGTCTTGCCTGCATAATGCTAAACTAGGCTACGGCAAAGTAGGGTCTATGCTACACAAGAGCAAAAAAAAAAAAAAGGAAAAACACAAGGGCCTTGGCTGCAGTCCACAGCGGCTTTGGTTGGACTGAGTGGTTGTGACAAGCTCGGTAAACTCAGTAGGCTACACCTAAGCAGCTAAGCTATAGATATAATGGCCCTTCAATGGAACATGCTAGATGCTAAATGCTAACATGCATTGAATGGCTGTGACAGGCCCTGTAAACAGAGCCAGGCCTATGACCACTCATTCTGCCAGGTTAAACACACATTCACACACACTCACATGGACACACACGCATGCACACACAAACAGGCCAAATACCATGTGCTACTTCTCATAAACCTGAAGCAGGCAGCATGTTAAGGCTTAGAAAAAAAGAGCAACAACCCAAAAGAAAATGTTGTATAATTCTGTCTCTGATAAACACTTTATGGCTGTTTTCTATTTCCTTCCGAGGCTGCTGCCAAGTATCTGGCAGTGGTGCTGGCATGGCTAAATGAGAACAACATGAACACAACATGCCCGTCAAACTGCGCACACTCCACGCTGAGACGCAGACCTGGGGTGCATCTCAAGAGGCTAACTCCGCTTCCTGTGCTTGTCTCCTCTGATTACATTTCACCTGTCCTCAGACGGAGTCCATCACAGATTAAGTAGAGGACAGGGAGTATAGTTAGAGGATTGGGATGGACCCACTAACTGTAGCAATAAGCTTTGAATGACATGCGGTTTGGCTCCTTGGGAAAACTTTGAAGTGTGTTCTTGTGTTTGTGCGTCCACTATTCCAGTGCGTGCATTTGTGCTTACGTGTCTTAAATGTGCCAATTGGGTGTGCAAGCGGTGTGTATGTGTATGAGCAAATGCAAATGCAGAAAAAAAAAGCATGTGTGGTCACTGTTATGTTATTCATGGCACTAGCTGTATCTTGGAAAGGCATTGTGGTCTCTAGGGTGAGCGTGCAGACCCTCTTCATCATCATTATCATTATCATCATCAATCATCCTTCAAGTGGCGTTCCTGGACCAGGCAATGTACTGAACCACTGGCCTGGCCGCACTTGGATATTACATTTGAAATGGGAAAGATGGAGGGGAGAAAGGACTGAAGGAAGGAATGAAAGAGACAGGGAGAGAAGGAATGCGGGTGGGAAGAAAACACACCAGGAAGAAAAGGGATGTTAAAGAAGTAAAAGACGAGACAGTAGAGGTATGATTTAAAGAAAAGAGTGTCAAAAGCTTTGTAAAAATTAGACGGAGAAAGTACGAGAAGAGGTAAAGTAATAGAACTAATGAGAGAGATGGAACAAAGTGTTCAAGAGAAAACAAATAGAGCAATTAATCACATTTCAAAGAGAGATTAAAGGAGCTCTGTGTTTGGAGGGAAAACAGTCTCACCTCAGGGACTTCAGTGACATCCAGACTGTGTGATCTGACATCCCCAATCAGCAGCGCACACACACACACACACACACACACACATACACACACATTGGAGGTCTTACTCTGACCTCTGCCGAACTTCCCCATGAGGTCAAAGATCAGATATGAGGAAAAGCCATGAGGTGATTGGCTGACCTCTGTCAACAGGATCTGTTGTTTTTGAAGCATGTGTGCTTGACACAAGAGGGAAAGCGACAGAGAAACAACTTACCTAAATAATAATCAGTTTGGCTGAAGCTTGTGGGCAGAAGGGGGTGATGACATTTTGATACATGTTTTTGACATGGACACAATTGTAGACATTGTCTTTTATCTAACTTATGCTACATTTATTCACATTTTTGCCTCCTTTCAAAACCAAATTGACTTTTACCCCAAATGTTGCATACGAAATGCAAGTCATCACAGTTCCCTTTTATAGACAAGAAATTCAACTTTAATAGAAAGTAAATTTTAGCCAATCTGTCTAGATTTATGAGTTGTTTTGTTATTCCCTACATTCTTAACAAGATTTCCCAGCAACCCTAATAATACTTTCTTCACTAGGCTTTCTCAGTCCAACTTGAAAAACTGAAATATCTCTTGCAGAGAGCTACTGTTTCATATGTCAAACACTATAAACACTGCTGCAGTAAAACAGTTCTGGTAGCCGTATTGGAGGGAAGATATTTATAAGCGCAAAGCAGAGTAATGTGTTTTACTGAAAAATGACCCCCTGCAGTTCAGTGTTTAATATGAAGCCTACCATAGCTGCATAATATTCTGCAATACAATAGGAAAATGCTGAGACTTGAAAGCTTGATAATATAATTTTGGCGAGTAAGATGAGAAACACTAGTAACTGCAGATCGAGAAATTAAACTTGGTCCATGTGGGATTACAGGATCGCTTCTAGTGTTCAGCTATGTTCCAGGTCATTTGTTTCCCCATATATATGCTGTAAAAATCTTCAAAATTAGATGTAGAATCATTCTGTTGTTGAAAATGATGCAATTGTTCACATAAAGATGCCTTACTGTGTGAGATTCGAAGAGAAACGTTTGCATATGGATGTCAATCAACCCTAGACCCTCACATTCTTTTAGGAGTCTTTCCACAGGCGTAAAAGGCTAAAGGAATATTAAAACCAGCTATCCTGTCCTCTTACATATTGCCGAGGTATGTGTGGGGTGATGCATGGATATTACTGTGTGCATGTGCGTGTGTTTGGGGAGGTATTAAAGACAGGGGATCCCCAGTGCATGTTTGACTCCAATTTAGACAGCAGTTTCAGAAACATTTATAAAGTCTAGAAACTTGTAGTAGTGCCTATCAGATAGAACAGAAGTTGGAATTAAGACTCAGGTGGAAATTCCCAGGTATTCGTCTTCAATCCCCAAACATACACACACACCTTAGTTTGGAATCCCCCGATCACAAGCTCTTGACAACAATAGAGCTGTGATGAGTTTATATTGCATTCTAATAACTAAGCTTTTATCAGCACTTGGAAAGATAGTGAAATCATCTCTGTGTTTCTTTGAAGATTGCTTTCCCCCGTTAGCGATACCATCTGGGTACATAGTATCAACAAAGGCTCAGGTGTGCACCTCCATGCGCATCTGCACACGCACAGGCCTGCACACTCCTCCAGTGTGCACGCCAACGCTCAAACACTCTGCTGATAACAACAACAGTTTGTTCTTCTTGAGCTGTCTTCAAACAGACACATTAAGTTTGTCCTAAGGGCAGTCTGGAGATGATACTGAGACAGAGAGAAGGAGCTCGTATGAGAGATGACTGATATATAAACTAATCTCACACACAAATCCCATCGATCAAAAACACTCATTTGGCAGTCTCTCCCTTCAGGCCTCTTATCTGAATGATATGAATAACTGACTTGGCAGGAAGTATTGGAGTTGAGGGAGAAGAGAGAGGAGAGGACAGAGGGGAAATTTTATGCTGTCGAGTCCGACCACAACTGACTGGTGGTGGAGATGACAAATATGAAATTGCACCAACTTTAAAAGCACGAAGATGAGAGCCCGCAACTTGTCAACTTGTGTAAACAAGCACAAACTGGCTGGTGTGGCTGAGTGTGTGTCTGCGTGCTCATACACATTCACACTGACCTGGTCCATAGGTGGTCGGTGGTTGGCGTGGGGGGGCCCTCTTGGCAGGCTTCGGTGGTGCATGTTTACTGGATGCAAGTGGTGAGAATGGTGAGGGTGATGTTGGGGGTGGATGTGATCTTCCTCGTAGTTATCTGCTATCAGCTTCATTCTGCTCTGAGTCTGCCAAAAAAGAGAGGAGATAAACAAGAAAATTTATATGGCATAATTATAACACGTGTACACACTAGGCCATTCATTTCTTCAACACTGCTTATTTGTTTCTTAAAAATGTTCTCGGGGTCTTAGAATGATTAGACTGAGGGATTCTTGGATGGGGGGAAAGCATGTTGAAAGCCATCAAAGATGATAAAAACAGTGCCGCTAACAACACTTGACAGGTCATAAATTGACTGAGTCGGAGTGCCTGATGAAAGTACTGTAAGTCTGTCAAATGTCATCCATATTGCAGATTATCATTTAATTGGATTAGACGAATCCTAGTATGAACAGTTAGAGAGTGTTTCATGTAGCCTAAGGCCACAGGCGTTCTGGCCCGGTTGAAGCAACCTCATTTTAGATGTCATTGATTAAAATTATGCTCAAATATGTATCCTTCTGCATGCCTGTAAAGACTATGTGTCCTTTGTTTGTGTCTGTGCATCTGTGTGTATTTGTGTGAGTGTTTGTGGAAGAGGCTGTCATCCTTCCAACATCGCTGCTTTGGAGAGAGATAACAGCCCAGGCTGACTAACGTTAACAATCAGCCTAACTCCATTGAGGCCAGCTGTCGGGGAGATAGACAGAGACAGAGTGGGTGCAGATATATTGACAGGCTCAGCTTTATTCCCTTAACTGCAGATACTTCCCCCCAAGGGCGGACATGACTGCAGAGCGGGAGGTGGGATTGTGCAGGGGATGACGATGATTCGAAGGAAAGACATGCACGCATCTCTCATCCAGAATGTTGCGGCTTTCCTCGTTTAAATGAGAGACAGGCATGGCAGGAGGAGACGAAAAAGCCTGAGTCAACTGGGGAGATAGGAGGGAGATGGTGTTACAGTAGTCAGCAGCCCGGGGACATCGCAGCTGAGATAAGAAGCCGAGGCCCTAATGACTGAGGAAACGAGCCAGTCAGGATCACAGGAGAGGATGTGGATGGTATTAAAGAGGTTAGCAATTAGCTTAAATTGGAGAAGAGCTGCTTAGATAAGGTGAGAACACTGACACCGTGGTGCAAGGGAGAGAGAGACGGAGATAAAGACGAAGAATGAGGGATGGAGGAGGGCACAGACAGACACCAGACCAGTGGTTAGAGCAGCTAAAGGCTAGGTTGAGGTGTACGGCCCTCCTTGACCTCAGGTGTTGACACTAGCAGGTGTGACTGGGTGGGGTTGGCCTCAACGCAACAGTTACAGCGCTGACACCTGTCATTAAGGCCAGGACAATTACTATCATATAGCATGCAGCTGATGTAACTACTGTACTGCTACACAGCACATGCTGTAGGTGCCTCCACACAGATTCTTCCCTATTGCTTAATAATGCTGCTTAATTCTCAAAAAGAGCCTAAAGTGTGTTTAGTCCTTGCTGCTAATCTAATATGAACCATATACTTGTTCCTGTTCATCTAATTACAACCATATTTGGTAGGATGCGAAGCCAAACGTCCTAGGATGTGTTTGCATGTGTGTGTGTGTGCACGTAGTTAATATTTAATGACCTGAGACAAAAACACAAATGAATGAAGTGATGAATTGCTCCTGGAAGAATCTGACTGTGTGGTCAGGACAGCCCACATGTGGCCATCCAGTTTATTCAAGCAGACACACACACATGCAAAAACACACACATCCACTCTCTTCTTACAGACATATTCCTGTGTGCATGTGCGAAGAAGGTGCGCACATATAAAATGTCCATGTGGTGGAATGTGTGTGTTTTAATTAGTGTTAATAAGGGGCTTTGTAGAGTAAACAGCTCAGTAATGGCCTCCAGGCCTGCTTGTAGATCAGGCAGCCTGGAACAGACACAGGTGGCACTGGGAGAGGAGAGCAGAGGAGAGCAGAGGAGAAGAGAGGAGAGGAGAGTTCTTCATTGACATCTCTAACCATAACAGATTTGGCCTCCACTATGTGTGTGCAGCGAGTGGTCTGTGCCTGTGTATCAAAGTGCAGCTGCTGGTGTAAACATGGCAGTGGTGATCCCGCTGCTGTGCTCACAGCTGCATCCCAAACCTCAATCCAAGCCCTCTGTAAATCACAAGCCTGTCCTGATTAGAGCGGAGCTGTATTAACACATATGGACACAGGAGGCTGCAAAAAAGGGCCTTAAACACACAGGCAGCTGGGGAAAGGCTGTGCAATTTTTTACAACACTTATACATACTCCTTTAATCAAGTCTCTGTGTGTGTTTGCGTGTGTGTAACCTAGCCATGCTGTCCCAGTAAAATGGAGTAATGCAGAGACCCCGCTCTAAACAGGCGGATCGTTTTACATAAGCCGTTCTAAATTGCACACCTCTGAGAACACAAAATCCATCTTTGCAGCATGAGAGAGAGGATGGATGCTCAAGTGTATCCAAGAAAAGAGAGGGGGGGGAGGGAGAGGAAAAAGATAGAGAAAGTCACAGAAAATGGCACACCTCCGAGGATTCCATATCCATCTTTTCTCTGCTTCAAAGCTCCAGCGACGTTTGGCCATCCATCACTAGGATGGGACCACTCAGAGAATTCCCACATGGGGACACATTTGTTCTGACTCTCTCCTCGGGAAGTCTAAACACCACACTTGTCATGTGTGTGTGTGGCTGTATCTTTGTATATGTGTGTTTGTCTGTGCTGAAGAAGGCCTATGCCTCAAAGGGACGCAAACTGCCTGCGAAAGGAAAGTTTGTCTTAGACCGTCGGCTTTATGCACACACACACGAGATCTTCCAAAGGAGGGATGTGGGGAGGTCAGACAGGGCACTGCTATCTGTAATCTATCTGCTGTCTACAGATCAGCTTTCTCCTATGAGACTCTGAGTCCCATAATTCTTTGGCATTTCCTGGTCAGTTTCCTTCCGCCATTGACTGTTCGGGACTGAAGGAAGGCGACCTATCCTGATATGTGTGTCAACAGGTCAGGAGACAGAGAGCCGGTGTGTGTCATGCTGAACAACATAACCTCCAGAGAGCTCATTCTGTGGAGTGGAAGGAACCCAAGTAGTGCAACGACTCCCTAAAGGAACTACTTACCTTACAGCCTCTTTAACATTAATATATGACATAGTCTTACGCTTTAAGAGCCCCGGTACAAGGTAGCCAAAGCACTATCTGCAGGGTTCCCACACATTTTCATGGACAAAATTTCAAAACTTTTCCACTTTTCAAGAACCCATAATACATGTATTTTTTTCTTCTTGCCCCACATGCCTGGTGTTTTTCAAACATATCAGATTCAGCTCTACTCAAACATAATTTCAGCTAGGGCAGAAATGCAAGACGTATGTCATGGTAAACAAAATGCTGTCACATATCTACGCATAATAGAGCTACGATATGTCGTCATTACACATTACACACAACAAAATTCCATGACTTTCCCAAACCTTTCATTCATTTTTACTAATTCCATGACTTTTCTAGGTCTTGAAACTGTGATTGTGAAAGTCCATGCCTTTTCCAGATTTTCCATGACCATGGGAACACATGCCTGGTACACCGTAGCACTTAGCGGTAGCATTTAAATGGATTCATATGCATGATTGCATGCTTCAAGACCTTCTAAGAAACCAGGATTGTATGAAAAAGAGGAGACAAAGAAAGTTGATGTACTTTCTGCGCCCCCCACCATTCTCTTCTCCCACCCCTCCCTTTCTTTTCTTCTCCTCTTGTCTGCTCCAGGCCCACAAGCCAAATAGTTGCAATTAGAGCTCATCACATCATCAGGTGGACTGTAACTGCTGGTTACCCAACGGGAAAACATGACGCATCCAATGGCGATAAACAGATAATAGGCTTTCCTTGAAATTCCTCCAATGGAATTGCACCCCCTAGGAACTGTTTAGCGTTTACGAGACACGAACAAACATAGGTACGCACTAAAATGCACACCCAGCCACTGCATCTGTTGACTTTTAAAAGCACCATGTTTCCCAGAAGCCCCTGTGACTCAGGAGACCGTATATGTGGACTCCCTGCTGTTGGCTCATTATAGTTAGCATTCACGTTAGCTCAGTCACTGATGTGGTCTGACCAGACCTTAATGACCCACATACCTTCATCAGCCTCAGGTTATATTGAGAGCCAGGGCAATATGGGAAATAGGTGTGTGTTCGAAAGTATGTGTGTGAGTGGGTGCTGGGATTTGTGTCTGTTTGACCGGAAGATGTGAGACACAAAAGTCCGCCAGTGACTCATCAGGGATACTAGCCTATGGGTGAGACTTGAGTGGATCTAATGACTCTGATTGCGACGTTATTGTTAAGAGAAAAGCATTCCTCGTGTGTTTATGCCCCTGGATTTGGAATCACAGCTCCTGCTTGACTGGTTTGGCTTATGATGACTGAACGCAGTAAGTGCGGTTTGAGGCAGGGAAGTCTACTCTGTTAACTACCAGGAATTATTAACCTCTATCTGTTCCTGGTTATAAAGTTCAAAAGTCTGCCCAGGAGGCTGTTTTAGTGCAGGCAAGGCTTCATCATCTGCAGCAGGTTTGAATTTGTAGTCCTGCTTTGATTCAAATGTCCTAAACGGTGACCGCAAGGCCAGGCTCCATTTGATTCATGTGCTGGCCAGTCAACCTCTTAGACCAGGAGTGCTGTAAATTTAATTCATCGTTTATATGCACGTATAAAAAGCTTGGTGGTCTCGTGTGGTGGATGTACCTGCTGTTTGAGCTGGTGCATGAGCCTGTCTTTCTCCCTCTTCAGAGCCATCACTTCCTCCTGGGCTTTTTTCCTTTTGGAGGAGGACAACTCCAGCAGGGCGATGTTAGCATCCTTCTCACTGATGGCTGCCAGCAAAGCCTGCTGCCTGAGAGGATGAGAGGGGGGAAAGGTAAGACAGAAGGTTATCATAAATGCATAAAATATAAAAAATTAATAATATTAACTCTGAATAAAAATAAAAAGTTGGGATTTCAAAATATGTTGGAAAATAGACAGGTGGACAGCAGAGACAGACACACAGCACCCACATCTGCAGCCGTGGGCCCGTGTACGTAAGCAGATGTCACAGCAAACTCACTCATTCCAGATCTCCTTAGACTCAGACAGAGATTCCACAGAAAAGGAGCAGACATCTTTGAAGTGGTCTGCTAAGTGCTGTATTAGTGGTACCTCAGTGTGACTCACAGACATGTAATAGTGTAATGGAGTCAAATAGAGTAGGCTGAGGAGGATATGACATCTTTCCCCTGCCACCACTGGTTACCACATTGTGTTTGTGTCTGTGAGTGTGTGCACGGATGGGGGGTGGCAACAAATGACTGTCTACAGGTGCAGAGAAAACACACCACCAAGCGTCATCACACACTCACAGCCAGACGTACAACTGTACACTCATGGGCCTCAAGGGAAGGCCTTGCGTAACCCTGCGGAGCAGATCGGAGATGACTGTCCTCGTCATCAAGCAGGATGTCGTAAATCCGGTGTTGTGACACACAAACATTCTATCCGCCCACTCTTGTAAACACAAGCAGAAGCACAAACATATTCCCATAGATAGCCAGACACACACCTCCTGTGCTTCGGCCATTGACCTAAGGTACACTGCAAAAATATGAAACAAAACTGGCGAAAACAGGTTTTTTGTCTCTGCAATTAGCCTAAGTTCATCTGACTGACCAATGCAGGACTCTCAGTGTGTAGGCACTGAAGGTATTTTAAGTTGGATAAACATGACGTGGCCGAACTCCAGACTCCTAAATCGCATTTGAAATTAGGAGAGCATTAAACCAGCACGGTAAGGTAATGTTTGGGTTTGTGTGAGGTGAGGGGGCAGAGGAAGAGGAGGAGGCAGGGATTCAAAATACACTTTGGACTCAATTAAAAATTGACCTGCATTGGAGTGTTTTTATTCCATGATTTAAGTCCCTGCAGAAATAACTCAATTGCGAAAATAAACACGCTGAACTCAGAATAAAGTCCTGCTGGCCCTGGGACTCCACGTTTGGTGTTTTCAGTACAATTATCTGCACGCTGCATCTGGATTCTCCCATTCAGGGCCATTAATAGGCCTCTGTGTGTTTGTGTGTGCTCAAGTGTGTGCTCGCATGTTGTGCATGTATTTGCGCGTGCATGCGTATGGGTTCTGACATGGATCGGAGCGGTTAATCACACCATTAATCACAGAGCAGGACCAAAGTGACACTTTTCGTCTCGCCACACCTCCACTGTTATTCCTTTTAATGCTCACTGTAATGGGAACACACAGTCTCTCTCTCTCTCTCACACACACACACACACACACACACACACACACACACACACACACACACACACACACACACACAGACCTACATTTTTACCAGGGCAAGTGCTTCAGACTGCAGGACTATTCAGCTTTAACTGACCATTCACAATGTAAATGAGGCAAAGAATTCACAGAGCTTAAAAAATCCCATCAAGAAATCCACAAATCAAACAACTGTGCGACTGAATTTTAAATCCCTCTTCATACAGTCCACTGTTACATCCTTGGCCAAACAACCCCGATGATAAATTTTGCATTTCAGAGCATGGCACAGTGGCAATCCCACTTCCATTCCTTTATCTTTGGCTCTGTCAAATAGAGAGAAGAGGTGATGCACAGAGTCATATATGGGCAAGGAACGCGGCACAACGTGTCACCGTTCATAAACAGTGTGTCAGATTAACAGCTCTAACCTACTTGCAGAATGGCCATCTTTACAGCATACTGCCAGACATGGAAATTCCAACATCAGGCCACATCCCAAGAGTCTCACAGTCACACTTTTCCTTATCTTCTTTTGGCATAAACTGTGCGCAAACACAGCTTGAGAATTTTGTCTCTTTAGGTCAGTATGTGACTGTAAACACACACAAAATATCTGCACACTAAGCTGAAAAACATACCATGAGGACTGAGACAACATTTTTAGAATACTTGGAAAATCTAATTGGGTGATGCATTGGGTGCAGGGCCAACTTGGTGGAAGAAAAGAGCGCGGTGAAAGGTTAGGGGCATTAACCCCCACCCCCGGTTCTAAAGGGGAACTTTATCTAATCTGTGAACTCATCTGAAAAAGCCAAACAGAAATCCATCCCTTTCTGACCACCACTGAGTCACTTTATAAAGGACTGTTACACTCCCATTCATCATGCTGCCTCTGCTGAATCAACTGATGAAAGACATGCTTTTGGTGTTTGATCACCTACAAAAAAGATAGTAAAGCTAGGATACTTTGTTGATTCAGGCAAGTGCAAAAAAGGCCATATGTAAAACGTAAGTTGTCTCTGTACATTGTGACATTTTAGGCATTGGGCTTCATGCAAGAACCGCTCATACCTACAGATTTGTTCTGACGGGGCTTGTACAAGTGACTTAGAAGAACTTGCTGCATTCACCAGTTTTCTCATATTTTGAATTTACTCTTAAACATGAACACAATTTACCAGTGGCCCAGAGTTGTTGGATTCAAGTGCAATTAGTCTGCTGTTATCCAAACCTAAATTTTCACTAATGGATTGTGTATTTTGTTACTTCGAAGAAATTTGGAGTTTAAAAACGCTTTATAACTTATGTTGAAATTAGCCTATTTGGGTGCCCAACAGCTCAGTGGGTAGAGCAGGCATCCCATGTACAAAAGCCACGTCCTTGCCATAGCAGTCATGGGTTTAATCCCGGCTCACGGCCCCTTGCTGCATGTCATCCTTTCTCCCACTCCCCCCTTCACACTTCATCTGTCCTATCAAATAAAGGCAAAGAAACCCAAAAAAAGAAATTAGCCCATTTGACTCTGCAATTTAAACTGTAATGTAATTGCAATGTACTCATATAGCCTAATCAGGTGGGCTGGAGCCTATCCCAGCTGACATTGGGCGAGAGGCAGGGTACACCTTGGACAGGTCACCAGAGTATCACAGGGCTGACACATAGAGACAGACAACCATTCACACTCACATTCACACCTACAGACAATTTAGAGTCACCAATTAATTGAGAAAGGCATTAATTGGACTGTGGGAGGAAGCCGGAGTACCCAGAGAAAACCCACATGCAATCTACACACAGAAGGGCTCCTCCACCCTGGGTTAGAGCCAGGAACCCTCTTGCTGTGAGGCGACAATGCGAACCACTGCACCACCATGCCACCTAATGATGTCACCAGGAATTTAGATAGGCTATTGATGCTATTCTATAACATTACAATATCAATATGAACATCTCAAAATGAAAAATGACTGCAGTCATTGATCACCTTGATTTGGCAAAATCAAACCATTTCTTCATTCCAGTGACAGTACAACCCTCAGGTGACACAGCATTAAAGGCATTTGTTATTTATGGATCTCCGAAAGCAGGACTTCAGCAGAGGACAAATGGGGCAGGATGCATTGTGTTATATGCTATTTTTAGTGCGTTAATCGTGCTAATTTACAATTCTCATGGACCTATGCTCATTTACATACAGATGGCATTCATCATGTTTATACAGGTCATTTACACAGAAGTTAGGATGTTTGAAATGCATGAGACCCGCCTTCTGTGGCACTGCAGCAATAGTAGACCTCCACTTAAAAAGAACTGCAGTACATTGTCGTTTATGAGCAGAATGTTTGCCGGTGTCTGTGAAGCCATGGCTGTCACATCCATCACACCTGCGTTCCCTAGCACAGGTACAGACTCCCCAAATGAAAAATACTGATAGACCCTGAGACAGTTCCGAGCCCAACTAAATTAAACCTCCGAAACCAAAGTGTCTGCCATGCTTCGGTGCGAGCTAAATCACTTCCAGGCTCTAAATTAACACAGCGGATTACAGAGCTGTCTCTCTGTGGGTGCTCTCTGAGTGGTACTGTGAGGTTCTGCTGAGTGATGACTTCCTAAAACAATAAAAAAGGGGCATTATTATGATTAGCCAGCCTGTAAACTTTGTCTCCCACATCCTCAATCAGTGTGTGTGTGTGCTGATTATTATTACTTACAGTCTTTGAACCTGAATCACACTGGAGCATTTAATCACATCTAATTTGAATGGATATTTGGCCTTAGATGCAGAACACACTTGCAACGTACATGACTCTAGCAGACAGGATTCATCTATCAGGCACACACACACACCCCCCCCAGACACACACACAAAGACAAATGCTTGTACTGTATCTGCTGGCTGATCTTGAGTGGGTGAACCCTCTCTCTTTCCTCCCCTCTTGTCTCACTCCCTGCTTAACTTAGACTTGGCGTGTCGTGGACAAACAAAGGATTATCTTCATTTCCTTTCCGATTGAAAGGGCGACAATGAAATGGTTTTTCATGACAAACTTGTGATTAGTCTTCATAAAAGTCAGACCCCATGCACTTAAGAGTCATAAGGCACTCCAATAAAAGGACAAATAAATCCAGCAGCTGAATCTCCCGTGTCAAAAATCTCATGTAGTTTAGTTTTTTATTATCTATGACATAACAGTATTTGAGCTGTCAAGGTAAACATGATGCTAACAGAAACAGTTACGCATTTATGTATATCTAATGTCTCTCATATTTACTTGTAGTATTACAGAGGGAGCATGCAAGGCTCTGCAGAAAAGCACAGACTGACAGACATCTTATTTATAAGGGGTGAAATTCTCGGCTCGACTACAACATGTGATTCCAATTGAACCTTCATGGTCCCTGGGACATATTGAGACATTTGGATCTACGGAGGTGGGAGATGGATGGCTAAAGTACATGACCATGCGATGAGAGGTGAGAGGGAAGGGAGGGGGGCAAGGTCAGTGGAGACGATATGGAAAGAAAAACTGGAATGCAAAGAGTGGAATAAGAGAAGGGTGAAGGGGACGTGAGGC